CCATGTAGCTGAATGTTCGGGGATCACAGGCCACGCTGCTTCCCACTCACTCCCAGCCTCCAGGGGGAAGGCAAGCCTATCAGCCAATGGACAGAGTGCCAGGCTGAGGAGCAGGGTCTGGGCCAGTCTTTTCTTTGTCCCCATGACCTGTGGCTATTGAACTGAATGCCCCCAAATCCACACATCCCTCTGCCTTCTGCATGGCACATGGCACACACTTCATAAGCTGGCAGACACTTCATAAGCTGGCTGTTGAGGAAAGTCTCAGGGAGCCCTATGGAAAAGGAAGCCTTGGAATCAGAGTTGAATGACAGCTCACAGGTGCTAGAGGCCCCTGTGACCTTGACCCTGCATAATGCCCAGACCAGTTAGGACTTTTTCTTTTCCTTAATATATTGAAATGGAGTCTATACTGGGGTCAGCATCACACACAGAGCCTTCGTCCCTAGAGGTGAAGTGATCTGCACAGCTTCCTGAGCGCAGGATCCTCCTTGGCGGCTGAGGTTGGGAGGGCCCCAGCCAGGCTGGATGAAGGTTGACTTTGTTTCGGAGCCTTGATTGGACACTGGAGTGCAATGCTCAGGCCACACATCCTCAGAGAAAGGGCAGCCCAGAAGTGGCAGGAGTGAGGACACATCCTCCCAGCTTCACTGTTTGCCTCCGTGTCCCCAAGCCTCTCTGCCTGGTCTCCTGGTGCCTCCAAGGTCCTGGTAGGAGGTCCTGTCCTAGCTTCTCTCTCAGGCCCATCCTCTCTCTCCTCTACCTTCCTTCCCCTGGAGTCTGTCTACCTGCACCCTTTCAGCAGTCACAGGTGGCTATTGACAAAGCAGTACATATGAACGGCATACATTTTAGAAAATATAAACATGCACAAGAAAGAAAAGAATGAACTCTTCACAACCCAAACCCCTAAAGCAATCACCAACAATCCCGGCACCTTCTGAGTCCCCTCTCTTCACACGCAGGCGTGAACAGGCTTACATTTTTTAAATGCGACCCCACTGTCTATTTTTCTCCCACTTGTCCTCCTCAACCAGCAATTTGTCATGATCATATTTTTGTGTCTTCGGACACTCTTCCCAATACTTCTAATGGCTGCAGAGTATTGTAGTGTGTGGCCACACCACAGTTTAATGTTTTGCTTTGTGGAACATTTAAGTTGACTCCTATCTTTTGTCAGTAAGGACAGCGTTGTCATGAAATTCTTAACAGCTACATCGTTATAATTATCCGTGATTCTCTCCTTAATACGAAGTCCACAAAACTTTAATTGCTAGGTGAACGGATTTGTGCTCTTTAGCACTTTAAATAAATTTTACCAAACTGCTTTCTAAAAGTCTTGACCTATTTTCATTCCCACTAGAAATGTGTGAAAGTGCCTATTTATCTGCAGCTCTCACATATGCAGTGCTTTGGTAGTTTTGGTGGGAGAAGAGCTTACCTGGCATTTAAGAACCGTAAGTTTTTAACTTGAATTTACCTGATTTCTAGTGAGGTTTAACGTTTCTGCTGCACATTAACTTGCCGTTTGTGTTTCACACGTACTTGCCTCATGTGAATAGACTATCAAACCCTTTCCCCAACGTTACATTGTGGGTGTTCATCTATTTTTGCACTGGCTTATAAGAGGTCTCTACGTATTAAGGGTGTTAACGTTTGTCTGCCATATATGCTCAAATGCGCTCCTCGGTCTGCCATTTGCCTTTAACTTTGTTTATGGTATTTATTGCCTGGAACCGTGTTAATGCCTTACTAGACATCTTTTCTTATATGACTCAACGGCATTTCCAACTCTGCATATCCAAACTGAAATTCATTATTTCTCCCCACCCCACCCTGCTCTGCCTGCTGACTGGCTTATTTTTGTTAATGTCACCACCATTTCCCTAGTCACCCAGGCTTGAAATTTGAAGTCGTCTTTGATTCCATCTCCTCTCTCTTCCCCTGTGTGTCGTCAGCTGCCAAAGCCTCTGGAGTCTATTTCTGCGCTTCTCTGGCAGGCAGCCCCTTGGACATTCCAGTAGTTGAGGATCTCATTATTTCTCGACTGGACTTTGAAAATAGCCCCCAAAGTTCATACCTTCCCTCTCCTCCATTTTCTTCTTCTCCTTGACCCCATCCCGAGCGCTGCTACCAAATTGACCTTCCTAAAGCAGAGCCCAAACACGGAAGTCGGAAGTCGCCAGTTCCCTGGTTACAAACTGACAATAGCTCCCCGTTGTCTTTTGTATTTAATTACAACCTCTCAGCCTGGACATAATTTCCTTTCAGCTGAATCTCTCACTGTCTCAGCCACGCAGCTCCCAAACAAACTCACTGCTCTCCTGCCTCTTTGTTGCTCAAGCCGTCCCTTCCTCCACCTGCCAAAATCCACTGAAAAAGCTCCCACCTGACCCCACCTCCTGCTATCCCAGGGCTTCCTGACTCTTTGCATTCAAGTGAACTCTCTTTCCTGTGACCCTCCAGAACAATTTGCTTGAACTTCTCTTGAAGGACAAATCTTATTCCAGCGTCCATCAGAGACACTAAGGGACTTAGGATCTAGGAGACAGGGTCCTTGGAGGGCACGGTTCCCATACGTCTCTGTTTCTTCCATGGGACCTGTGCGGTTCCCAGCTGTTGTAGATGTTCAGTAGGTAGTCGTGGAATCAGAAGGAACACCCCATGTAGCTGAATGTTCAGTGATCACAGGCCATGCTGTTTCCCACACTCCCAGCCTCCTGGGAGTCTTAGCCTGTGGAGTCTCAGGAAGCACATGGGAAAGGGGGAGCCTTGGAACCAGAGTGGAATGACGGCTAAGAGGTGCTGGAGACCCCTGTGACCTTGACCATGCACAATGGCCAGACCAGCTAGGACTTCTTCCTCTTCCTTAACATGTTTAAATGGAGTCAATATTGGGGTCAGCTTCATGCACGGAGCCTTCTCTGGCTTTAGAGGTGATTCCGCAGGCTGCACAGGAGTGTGCAATTGACACAGGCTATTTTTAGCCTCCCACAGACCGTGACCAACATCGCAAGCTGAGGGTGGGTACACCTGCTGAATTCTAATGAGGCAGCCCCACTCGCCTCTGCCAGCCCGCCTGGGATCTCACCAACCTGAAATCTGATGTTGCTAAACTGGGATATGTGTTTATTTCCCAAGTGTGGCAGCCTAGATACACTGGGAAAATGGGACCATCCCACTCCCCCCTGCTCACTCCCCTGCAGCCCTGGACACCGGACAGTCTGGAGGCTGTGCTGAATGATTCCGGGGAGCAGATGAAATCACTTGGCTTTCTTGATCTTGCTGTGTCCTAGGACCTCCCCCCCCAACCCGTTTCCCTTGTTAGAAAGGAGACAGTAAGTCTGAGCTGACCCAGCTCACTGATGAGAAAATCGAGACATAGAATAAGGACATGATTGATGTAACAGTAATAATGAGCACTTACTATGTGCCAGCCTGTTCTAACGCCTTTCTTACTTCCATAGTAAGTGCACATAGTTAGTGCGGAATCACCTCTAAAGCCAGAGAAGGCTCCGTGCGTGAAGCTGACCCCAATATTGACTCCATTTAAACATGTTAAGGAAGAGGAAGAAGTCCTAGCTGGTCTGGCCATTGTGCATGGTCAAGGTCACAGGGGCCTCCGGCACCTCTTAGCTGTCATTCCACTCTGCTAACTCCTCCAAACTTTTGGACAAATTTTTCAGGTAGGTTTTATTATGATTTGTGTTCTATAGAGGAGGAAAAGCTGAGGCACAGTGATGACAAACGATTTCCCAAGGTCACACAGCCAACAAGTGCTGGGTTTCAGAGTCAGGCAGGTTTCAGCCACTTTGCTAACTGCCTCCTAGTATCTGTTTTTAATTTCACTAGAGTCGGGATAGGATCCAGGAGCCTGGATTCCCAGCCCCAGAGGACTGACTGCTAAATCATACTCCTTTTTGATTTTTCAAATTCTACCCTGCTTTGAGGCCTTTACCATGCCTTGCACATCTGGGTCTCCTGCACTCCAGGGAGAGGGGGTCTCCTGGGAAAACTGCTTCTGTTGCAGCCTTGAGCTTCTGGTCTCCAATTGCTGTCCCTGGGTGCCAGAAGCTCTCTGGACCCCCATCTCCTTCTCCCTGCTCCCCCTAGCCTGTGGAGGACCAGGGAGCAGATGGCGATGGGCAGTAGCAGTGGGTATAGAGCTGGGCTGGGCCTCAGGACTGGGGCACCCAGGAATAGCAATAATTGGTCATGTGGAGACCATCAGTGTGGGTATCCACAGTGCTGAATCCAGGGTAGAACTGTGAATCAGAAACTAGGAGCAAGACAGCAGGTGGGAGACACCAGAACCTAAGAGACACATCTGCACTGTGGGGACCAAATCCTTCTGGAGCTTGATGCTACCTGTTGAGTGGAGAGAAACGCATGGGTTCACCTTCCTGAGGACGCAGGTGGGACTTTGTTTCATCTAGCAGACCTTACTACGTGCCTGGCCCTTTTCTAAGCACTTCAAATACAAACTTGTGTAATCCTCCGGACAACTCTAGGAGGCAGGGACCATTTTATTCCCATGTTAGAGACAAGGAAAGCGAGGCATTGGGAAGTTCGGAGGTTTGCCCAAAGTTGTAGAGCTGGGAAATGGCAGAGCTGGGATCCAGCTCTGGAATCCACACTCTTAGCCACCGTGCTGTGCTATGCACCTCTCCCTTTACCGAATGCTTCCTGTTTGCCTTCAAAGGAAGACACTATCTCCCCGTTTCACAGTACACAAACTGAGGCCTGCATTTGCTCAGGTCACCCAACCAATAAGAGCTGAGAGTAGGTGAAATCCAGGTCTATGTGGCTCCTCCGTGGCCTGCCATGCAGCAGATCATAGCCAAGAGCCCCGCTGCCGGGAGCTGGAAGGGCTCACCTACCTCCCTTTCAGGAAGGGCTGCTGTGGCCTCAGGGAGCGGGGAAGGAAAGAGGACCACCAGCCCCCGCAGGCAGAACCTCGTTGTCCCTCCTAACACCGCACCTCCTTCTCTTTCCCTCAGGTGAACAGCCCCCCCTCCCAGCCCCCTCAGCCCGTCATCCCTGCTAAGCCCGTGCAATGCGTCCATCATGTGTCCACTCAACCCAGCTGCCCAGGACGGGGCAAGATGTCCAAGCTGCTGAACCCAGAGGAGATGACCTCCAGAGATTATTACTTCGACTCCTACGCCCACTTTGGGATTCATGAGGTAAAGTCTCCTGAGCAGGCGCTAATGGGGCGAGGCTGACTCTGCTGTTTTGTTGTGTTCAGAGGCAGCACGGTGCGTTCAACTCCTTGCCATGGTAAAGTGAGTGTTCCCGGCATCCCTGAATCCTCTGACCCTTTCTCCAACCTTGGGATACCCTCTGGGAGGGGGCCAGGCCAGGCCTGGAGCAGGGGATCAGGCGAAAGTGTGCGTCTGTATCTCCACAGTCAGAAAGAGCACACAAGGTGTTTAGGGTTGGTTGGTTTGACATTCCAGCTCCTGTGTCTGTCGCCAGCCATAAACCCAGCTCATCCAGTGTGGGCTGGATAGCCCTGGTCTTTGTACCAGGAGCTCAAATGCTTGCAGCCAGAGTCCTGAGGCAGCAAGGACCTTCCAGAGATCATGATGTCCATTCTCTAACCAATGAGCACCTCCGGGGGAAGAGCTGCAGGAAGCTTTCTTGGGAGCTTGGCCCAGGTCTGACACCCTGATTATCTGGACATTCTTATGTCTAAATGCCAGTCTTACACCATAGCAGAGAAGACTAATATTGGCTACAGAACAGAACAGAGCCTCCTAACACGAGGCTTCCTGGCTATAGCGGGGGCCTAATGGTGCCCTCACTGTTCATCTTTCATTATAATCTCCAGCAATTTCTTCAGCCACCCCAAATAAACAAGTAGCATTTACTGAGGGCTTGCTAAGTACCAGGTACAGTTCTAAGCACATTATATGCATCATTTCATTGAAATCTAATAAGAACTCTATGAAGAAACTATTTCCACAATCCTCTTACAGTGTAAAAACTAATTGGGAACTGAAGTTTGCTTGCTATGCAAATCCGTTTTCAAAACAAGTCTCAAAGAGCTTCCTTCCACGTCCGCACTGCTGTGAACGCTTCTGGAAGTGATGACACTGCCGTTGCCAGAAGGGTGTGTGGTCATTTAGTAATCATGGCCAGCACTTTGCCTTGTTTCTTTTGTTTTAGAGCTTACTATACGCTGCGTTTTCCCAAGCATTTTTTATTCTCGGCTCATTTATTCTTCAGGTCAACCCGTGGAGTTGGTGTTATCATCTGTCCCCATTCTCCAGATGATTTTGGCCCTTAAGAATCAGATCAACTCTCATTCAACTTTGCTGGCTTTTCCTTTGTTTTGTTTTGTTTCGTGTGAAAGGCCACAAGCTAGTAGATGGCAGAGCTAGCAATGAAACCTCTACCTTTTGTTCCTAACCACCACACCTACAGCCCTTAAAACAAGTTTTCTTTCTGCCCATCTGGGAACTGTAAAAATTAAATTGCCATATTTGTTCCTGCTGGTTTTTCTGCAGCCCCACGTGGAGGTAGAGGGTGGAAGGAGGCCCCTCAGTTACTTCTAGACTGGCGGCTCAGCCTCATTTAATCCATGGAGGCTCAAGGTTTGGCTCCCTGAGAACTGCTCACTATGTAAAACCAGTAGTCCTGGGCCTGCAGCGGAGGAGGCCTGGGGCCTTGTTCAGTCCAGTAGACCCCCCGGCCCAGGACAGCCTAGACAGCTGAGCCTGCAGCTCTTGGGAGGTAAAACGCCGTCTCAGGGCAGACAGGTGAACTCTTACCCCTTCCTTGACTCTGCTCTCCTTTGGGATAGGAATCCATGGAGTCCTGTTCTTGGCCCGTGAGAGGCTCCAGTGGGTGGGGGAAAGAGCCTCTGCGAGCACTCTATCCTCAAGACCTTGTTCCTCATTAAAGGTCATGTTCTCCGTGTGACAAGTTCTAACAGGCCTGTGGCTCTGGGTACCCATTTCAGGACAGATTCTTGGGACAAGAGAGCAGTTCTAGGGACCCCAAAATGCTTCCTCTTGGACCTGGTCCAAACTCCCCCATTAGAAACCAAACAACCGTGAGGTGCACTCAAGCCAGGTCTGTAGGCCCCCGCTCCCCACTTGGAGCCTCCCTGGTCGGCTTCCTGCACCCCTCCCTCTGAGTTGCTAGGTTCCTGCTAGGCTGCACCTTTGGCATTTCAAGTGTGCTCCACTAGGCTATTCCTGATCTCTATCATTCCTTCAGGACTCGGTGTCCCCAGCCTGTTACCTAGTGCTTGGCACATTGTCCGGATTGCAAAGACTTGTTGACACGGCTGCTAATCCAGTCATTCAGGCGATGCTGGTCAGCACCATACCCAGTGCCCAGGGAAGAGGATGCCAAGTGTCACCAGATAAACACTAGACCAGGTTCTCTCAATTGTGTGTCTTGATAGAAAAGTCAAGCTTGTACATGCAAATATATAAACATCTTGCAGGCTGAGCTGGGGACTTAGAGTAAAAGACCTGTGAGTCATAGATAACGTTCCTGTCCGGCGAGAGTCCTTAGCAGCCTTCTCATCGGGAAGTACTTCTGGACATCTAGCTTAACTCCCTCCTGCTGCTGCACCAGACCATCTCATAGGTCGTTTATGCAGGAACATCTAGGTAACCTTCCTTTCCCACTGAGGTTTCCTTTTACCCTGTTTTCAGTTTCCCAGATCATCTGCATGACAGGAGGTGGGGGGCACACGGAAGGACTTTCAGCACCGCTCTCTGCAGAGAGAAGGCCTGCTTGGTCCTTGTTATTGAGCACCAGGGATTTCTGTTCCATGCCAGACAGTGCATGGTGACGCCTTTGCCTCCTTGGTCTGAGCAAGACCTGTATTTCTCCATCCATCCAGAGCCACGCTGGCCATTTGGCAGTCTTCTCCCCATCATTAACGAAATGCTCACACAGTGGGGAGGGGCACCACCGTCTGCTGATTAATAGCCGTCAGTGAGTGTTGACAAAACACCGTGTGGATGGGTTGGGTTTGATGAGTCTGTAAGTACAAACAAGAAGTGCTGAGTGCAGGGGACTGTTGGGGCTGGAGAGCACAGCAGGGGTGACTCTGGACATTTCTGTTCTGATCACATGGCTCCATTCAGAGACAACGCTGTTTCCAGACTCCAGAGGGCACAGGCTAGGGAGAGGAAGACCCTGGCCTTCCAATTCAGGCCTCTCTGAGAAGAATGGAATCTTGAACAATCTTGAATCTGAAGTGGAAACTGTGTGCTTCCTGAGGCCACCACCCAGGGAGGAGGCAGCAGGCTTCATGACCCCCAGATCCCAGCTCTGAAATCTCAGCATCTCAAACAGTTGGCACTGGGCTTGGTGCCTCAGCCGCGAGAAGAATCCTTGCCAATGCGGCTGTGCCTCCGGCACCCTGAGCCCTGGGTGCCAGTCCCACTCCCGGCCAGCTCCCTTCCTTTGGCACTGTTGCTGCAGGTTCTGTTGAAATAGACTCTTCGGGGCCTCATTTCCCAGCAATTTGTCAATGTGCCGTCATGTGCTTAATAGGCAGGAAAGCCGGAACACAAATGAATCCACTGCTAGAGGCTGGGAGCTGTTTTCAATAGGGTGGCATGTTCCTGTCTGAATGTCCTGGGAGTTCCTTGGGCTCTTCTCCCAGGAATGTTTAAAGCAGGGGTAGAGGAAGGGGAGAGGGGACCCCTTCTTTTGGCAAGTTGGGTAGGGGAAGACTTGCTAAGTCACAATTTCTCTTCTTCCAGAACTTGTACCTTCTGACCTAACTCCTGGGGTCTGGGACTTTCAGGAAAGGAGAATTGGCCAAAAGAGTGACAAAGGCAATTAACTAAAGGGTGGGCACTGGTGAGGTGGGGGGGGGCTCCCCATTAGCAAAAATAGGTTAGGTTTTGAAGGGAAGGCAAGGGTTAAAGAAAGACACACCCACAGAAAGAGTGTGGCTCGACAGCAAATGCAGGCTCTACATCCAGCATAAAACCTGCAGAAGTGGGGGACCAGCCTAATGCCAGAGTCCCCCCGATGCTTACAGGTATGGGAGGGAGGGGTCTGGGCAGTATGGCTTGCTGCCCTGCAGGATATTGATAAGATGCTCCTGTGATGAGGTGGTGCTGGCCCTTGTTCTGGTGGGATGTCATGTGGTGTTCCTTGGACCTTTGTCCAGCAAGACATAAGAGGGATGTTTCTTTTCTTTTCTTTTCTTTTTTATTTTTTTGAGATGGAGTGTTGCTCTGTTGCTCAGGCTGGAGTGCAGTGGCGTGATCTCAGCTCACTTCAACCTTCACCTCTGGGTTCTAGCGATTCTCCTGCCTCAGCCTCCCAAGTAGCTGGGATTACGGGTGCCTGCCACCATGCCCAGCGAATTCTTGTATTTTTAGTAGAGATGGGGTTTCACCATACTAGCCAGGCTGGTCTCAAACTCCTGACCTTGTGATCCACCCACCTCGGCCTCCCAAAGTGCTGAGATTACAGGCATGAGCCACTGCACCCAGTCAGGGATGTTTCTTTAGTTGGGCCTTTGTCTGCCTTGCGGTCACGTGGTTAGGCAGGATGCTTCTCATGGCCTGAACCCCGTGAAATGTTTCGTTATGACCAAGATCTGCAAAAGAGCTGGGACCTTACAAAATGGTGCAGTATGGACTAGCGGGCTCTCCCGAGGTACTTGGCCAATACACTTCCATCTGCTAAAGGCAGTTTAGACTTTTAATTGTGTTAAGATTGAAACAGTTTTGCGCCTTTGTTGTTATTTCGCCTCCCTTCCCTGTTCACCTCAGCTATTTCCTTGCATGGATGAAGAAAAGGGTTGTAGTTATCACAAGGAGCCAGAACTAGCATTTTTGTGAAACTTACTACACTGTTGTAATCATCATAACAAACCCTACAAAGTATGTTATGACTCCTCGTTTCCAGATGAGGAAATTGAGGCACAGACAGCTGAAAGCTGGTCTGGGTCAGAGAGCTCACAAGCAGTGCAGGTATGATCTGAATGCGGTAATTTGAGATTTGAATGCTGTAGAGTCTGTGTGTTTAAACACTGTGCTGTACGGTTTTCCTGCTTACTGAGCACCTGCTATGAACCATGCACCATGGGTAAACCATCTATCTTGTCTTTGGTCTGAGATCTCCTAAAGGGAAAGGCTTCAGCTCACCTTCAAAGTATTTAAAACCAGAATTGAACTCAACACAACCAATCCCCACACCTTATTCAACCTCTAATCAGATCAAAGATAGCAGCCCCGGGGCAGCACAGGAAGTGATGGCCGGGCTTCAGAATGGTTCATGCCTCCTTTTCACCTTCAGTCTCCACCAGAATTTCCTCTGTGACTCACCCTGACTGGAAATATAAGAGAAAGAGAATTTGGGAAATGTAGCACCACCTGGCCAAGATGACACGTTGCAAAGCCTCCCGACGTGGTGCACAGAACTCTAGGAAACGTGAAGCCAAACCTACAGAAGTAAAGGAATAAAAGGACAAATCCCCAGTCATGATTAAATATTTTAACACTTCTCTTGGTAAGTGATCAGACACGGGCACAAAAAAATCAGTAAGAATGCAGAAAATTTGAATAATACAATCAAACAACATGAGCTAATTGACATTTTTAGAACATTTCGTCTTCAAACTACAGAAGACATGCTCTTTTCACGTGCATGTGGGAACATTCACTAAGGTAGATCCTATGCTGGGTCACAAAACAAAGATTAAAATCATGCAAAGTATGTCTTTTGATCACAGTGAGTTGAATTAGAAACTGAAAGCAATAAATTATCCAGAAAATCTCCAAGTAATTGGAAAGTGGCAGCACTCTGCTAAAGAGACCATGGGTGGGAGAAGAGATCACAGAAAGAAAGAGAGAAACTATCCCAAGCTAAATGATACTGGAAATACAACATATTAAAATTTTGGGGAAGAAAATTCAAGCAATATTTAGAGGGAAATTTATAGCTTCAAATGCTTGTGGAAAAAAGGCATAAGATCAATGATCGAAACATCTACCTTAGGAAGCTAGAGAAGAACAAATAAGACCCAAGTAAGGTGAAGAAAGGAAATAATTAAGATGAAAACAGAAGTCAATGAAATAGAAACTAAACAGTGGAGAAAACCAACAAAGCCAAAAGCTGCTTTGTGAAATGGTCAATTAAATTGACAATATCTAGCTAGACTAATCAAGAGAAAAAGAGAAAACACAAATTATTGTATCATAAATGAAGGCAAGAACATTGTTACGATCATGCAGATACCCAACAGGCAGTGGGAGAATATGATGACATGTCGTGCTGATAAATTTGACATTGTACATAAAATGGATGCATGCCTTGAAAAAACACCTTGTCAAAACTGACATAAAATGCATCAAAAACGAAAATAGTCCTTTACTAATTAGAGAAATTGAATTCATATAAAATGTTCCATAAAAGAACTCCAGGCATATATGGTTTTATTGGTGAATTATAATAAACATTTAAAGAAGAAATGTACCTAACGCAAACTTTTGCAGAAAATATATGAGCAGAGAACATTTCCCACCTTATGGGATGAGCCCTGTATAACTTCGATTAGCAGAGGAAAGGTAAGACAAAGTTCCAGATTGAATACGCAGCAAAATGTTAGCAAATAAAACCCAGCGATGTTTTAAAAAGCATCATGACAAAGTGTTCATACAACATTAAAAAACCAATCTGTGGAGTTCAACCCATTGACAAAATAAAGAGAAAAGTCATACACCATCTCAATAAACGAAAAAGCATGTGACAAAATTAAATACCAATTCATGATAAAATCTCTCACCAAGTTAAAAATAGAAGGGAACTTCTTCAGTCTGATGAAAGACATTTATAGGAAGCCTAAATTATACTTAATGGATATATTATTGGAACAAAGGAAGGATGTCTGTCCTCTGTAATTCTATTCAACATTTTACTGGCAGTCTTTGCAGTGCAGTAAAGCAAGAGGAAAGAACCAAAAAATAAAAGGCATGCAGATAGGAAAAAAAGAAGAAAGGTTGTCTTTATTCACAAGTGACAAGACTTTTTACGTAGAAAAATAAAGAAATCTAAAAAAAAAAAAAAGCCTACTGGAATTAATACATGAAATGAGCAAGGCTGCAAAATACAAGGTCATATATACACCAACACTTTGGAAAATGAAAAGCTTTTTACACCATATACAGTACCACAAAATAAAATAATTGAATGGGGCCATGTGCAGTGGCTTACACTTTTAATCCTCGCACTTTAGAAGCCAAGATGGGCAGATTGCTTGAGCCCAAGGTCAGCTTCCGCAACATGGCAAAACACAGTCTCTACCCAAAAAATACAAAAATTAGCCAGTCTCATAACCCGGTCTCAAAATAAACAAAAAAATAAATTTTTTTGAAAAACTAAATAAGATAAAACAGTTGAATGGAAATGTAAAATCTTTATACAGAAATCTATACACCATTCCAGAGAAAATAAAAGATCTAGATGAATGGAGAGCTGTGATTATAAAATTCAAAATTGCTAAGATGTCAGTTCTCCCCAAATTGATCTATAGATTTAATACAGTTCTGATAGATGCCAGGAGACTGTTCTGTATGAATTAATAAGGTAATTGTAAAATGTACATGGAAATGCAAAGGGCCTAGGAAAACCAAAATAATCTTGTTAAAGAACTACAGTGGAAGACTCTCACTACTTTATTTCAGAGTTAATATAAAGGTGCAGCAGTCAAGTCAGTATTGACGTGGTATATCGGTGGACTAGATCAGAGAGGCCACACATGTAGAGTCAATTGATTTTTGGTAAAGGTGACAAGGTAATTAATGGAGGAAATGGTGTTTGGACCATTTATTTGCAAGAAAAAAATGAGCTCACCCCCCTAACTTACACTATACACAAAAATTAATTTGACATGTAAAAGCCACAGCTACAAAGCCTGTAGAAAAAAGCAAAGGAGAGTGTCTTTGTGACTTGGGGTACACAAAGATCAGACAGGGCACAAAAAGCACCAATCATAAATGAAAAAAATGGAAAAACTGATCTTTATCAAAATTAAAAACTGCTTTTCAAAAGACAACATTAAGAAAATGAAAAGGCAAATCACAGATTGGGAGAAGACATTGCAGTATCTATGCAGTATATCTGATGAAGGACTGGCTTCCTGAATGTCCAAACCCCTGCAATTCAGTAAGAACAAGACAAACAGCTCAAGACAAAAATGAACAGAGGAATTGAATCTGCACTTCACAAAAGACGATATATCTAAATAACCAATAAGTGCATGGAAAAATTATCGACTTCAATAATCATCAGGGAAATGCAATTAAAACTGCAATGAGACACCAGTTCGTATCCACAAGAATGGCTAAACTAAAAAGATGGATAATGCGAAGTTGCCGGGCTGTGAAGCACCTTGAACTCTCTCACATTGCTGGTGGGAGTGTAAAATGGTACAACTAGTTTGGAAAATTCTTTGGCAATTTCTTATGATAAACATGTACCTACCCTAAGACCCAGCACACTTACTTTTAGGTATCTACCTAAGGGAAATGAAAACATATCCTTTGCTATTATGAATAAATAGCAAAAAACTGGAAAAAATTCTAATATCCCAGAAACAAGTGAATGGATAAATACATTGTGGTATGTTCATACAATGGACTACCATTCAATAAAAACAACAAAAGGACAAACCTTGGATCTGTGTAATAACATACATGAATCTCAAAAACTTTATGTTGCACCATTTATATAAAGTTCTAAATAGGCAGAAGGAAGCTTTGGTGATAGAAATCAGATCATACGTCATCTTGGGAGAGGCTGAAGATTGACTACAAAAGGGCATGAAGGACTTTCTGGGGTGATAGAATTGTTCTATATTTTGGTAATGGTGGTGGTTACACAGGTGTACATTTGTCAAAGCCCTTTTACTGAACCAGAAGCTTAAAACCTGGTTTTGTTGTATGCAAATTATGCTTTGATAGAGTTGATTTCGAAAAAAAATCACATTTGATGATAAATTAGTTAAAAGCTTTTGCTGACACCTTGAATGGCCAAAGATCCCTACCTCACCACCATACACAGAGTTAACATGTTCTCTTTGGGTCACAGTACATTGTAGCAAGTAATCCCGTTTCTCTCTCAACGCAAAGCCCTTATGCTGGACAGAGGAACGTGTTCCTAGTCTTAAAAAAAAAAAAAAGCAAACAAAGCAAAAAATACACTCACAAAAGCCTCTTTAAATAACTTGTTCAATGGCCATTCTCTCACCATGACAGAAAGTTCTGCTTTGGGTCTAACTCAAATCTTTTACGCTGTGTTGTACTGATCTTTCCTTTGATCCTTTAATAAATCGGAGCTTTCCCAGGTCTGGACATCAGTTTCTCTTCTGATGGTGCCTAACTATCTTTCTGGGTAGAGTTTTAAGGCAGAGGAAGTCTGGAATGATGATGGTATACCTGGCCCAGCTGCCCCACTGCTGTCCTCTGTGGCTCTGCCTGATGATATTATTGAGTCTCCTGAAGGGTCACCTGGGGTGGTGTGTACAAAGTACTCCCAGGTCCCTTGAATTCACTGATGTTTCATTTCTTTTCCCTCCACCACAGGAAATGCTGAAGGATGAGGTGAGGACGCTCACTTACCGGAACTCCATGTACCACAACAAGCACGTGTTCAAGGACAAAGTGGTACTGGATGTGGGGAGTGGTACTGGGATCCTTTCCATGTTCGCTGCCAAGGCAGGGGCCAAGAAGGTGTTTGGGGTGAGCATGCCACTTGCTCCCATATGCTGGCTTCCACAGAGCTGGCCCCTTGCCCTCTGCCTCCACCCACCCTCCTAGAAGTACAAAATCTGATTCATCTCTTTTGCGGGGGTCACACCTTCGAGGAGTAGAAGAAATCAGGTGTGACTCTCAGGAGGCGAGGCAGGCTGCCTGTCCCTATGCATGGCTCCTGGGTCCTTGCGACCGCTGACATTTGCAGAGGAATTTTGGCTTTCCTGAGAGCATTCCAATGTCATCATGATCTTTCCGTGCTTAGCCCCAAGGTCAGCTTCAGAGACAGTGCAGGTGGTTATGCGGGGGAGCTCTGGTTAGAATTTCCGAATTTATATTCACTAAGCATGTGACCTTGAACTGTTCACTTCCCTGTACCCCACTTTCTCCATCTGTAAAATGCACATAATAGCAGTCCCTTGCGCACAGGGTGATTGTGAGGATTAAATGAGTTTAATACATGTAAAGTGCTTAAAATAGTGCCCAGCATATGGCAAATGCTCGGCATCTATTATTACAGTTGAGATGGGCCCCTAGAGATAATGGGAAAAGCTCCTTCCCATTTTCTTTAAAGGGCAAGTCGGTCAACTTAAATTCTGTTGTTTTGGCTGTGGCAGCATTTCCAGGCTAGATGTGGGGGCTGACCCTCCGGGAAGCCTCCCAGCTGTCCCCCAGCTCTCCTAAGGCAGCTTTGCACAGCCTGATGACAGAGGGCCTGGGAGGGTCCCGAGTTGGAAAGAAACTAAAAAAGAAGAGCTGCGAGCTTCAGGCTGACATTTGAAAAATGCAGTGGGCCCAGGGCTGGAGCACGAGTATTCATCTTGGTCAAAATGAAAGGCAAAGCACAATGAGATTCCAAGCCTGCATGTGAGCCAGCCCAACTGCAGAGGCCCTGGAGACCTGAGCAGCATGCAGCGGGTCTTTGCTCCCATGCATTTGGCTGGGCCATCCCATAGCCAGCCCTGGGGAACCACCCTGCCGCTGACTCCCAGGTCGACTATATACTCCTAGATCCCCTGACCACCCTCTGCCTCCAGCGGCCTGCCCCTAAGTCACTCAGCAGGACAGCGTTCTTCCTCCAACCCTGGCTTGGAAAACCCTTGGGCCATGACTGCCCAAGGGTTTTCTGGAAGCCTGGGCTGCCCTCAGGCTGCCTCAGGTGTAGATTTGATCCAGAAAAGCTGTGATGTTCTCAGTTGAGGCACTTGCTGAGGGCAGAAACCCACCCGGATGCCCAAGGGCAGGTCATGTCATCATCACTGGTATGACTGTTGATTCTCCAGGATGGAGACCTCAGGCGAGGGACAGACAACTCTTAGTGAGTTTGCAGGGCATGAGAGCTGGACTTGAGGCCTCTGGTGACCCCCATGTGCTTTGTCTCCCAGCACAGAGGCCCGGTCTCAGCACTGGCCTTGTTGGGGGACAGGGCTGAGCATGGTGTCCCTGGCGCCTGAGTCATCCGGGGGCTCCAGCCAAGGAGCTGTCAGGAGGAGGCTCCCACTTGGTGCCTTCCAGCTGCGGTGACTTGGCGAGATCTGTCTGCCTCCCGCCCTTCTCTCTAACAGCTCTTTTATAAATGGCTCCTCCACATTTAGCTGGGCTCCTTTCCGGATGGCTCATTTCACAGTTTCTCCTGTTCCAGACCCCCTTCCACCCACTGCTGTCCTCCAGTGGGGAGATGAGATGGCAGGAGAGAGAGACAGAGAGAGGGAGGGAAGAAGACCATTGTCCCAGACAGAGTGGAGACAGGCACAGGGAAAGAGACAGATGTGATAAGAGCAATGGAGAGAAGACAGAGAGAGAGAGAGAAAGTTGCAGAGAAAAGCTAGAGAAATGGGGGAGGGGTCCGAAAAAGCAGAAAGAAGACAAAGCAGAAAGCACAAAAGAAAAGAATTGGCAGAGATGGGCAGATCACCTGAGGTCAGGAGTTCAAGACCAGCCTGGCCAACATGGTGAAACATTGTGTCTACTAAAAATATAAAAAATTAACTGGGCATGGTGGCGGGTGCCTGTAATCCCAGTTACTTGGGAGGCTGAGGCAGGAGACTTGCTTGAACCCAGGAGGCGGAAGTTTTGGTGAGCCAAAATTGTGCCATTGCACTCCAGCCTGGGCAACAGAGACTCCATCTCAAAAAAAAAAAAAAAATCAGGAAAGTGAAGAGAGGTGGTAAAGAGAGAGGAGAGAAGAACTAGAACACGAGAAGATGGAAGAAAGGAGAACGAGGAGGGAAGGACACCACCCCGCCCTCTGAGTGGTGAACAAGCTTCTGCTGAGTTCACCCTCACAACACCCGAGTGCACTGGGGGCTTTGAATTCTCTCGGGAGGACACTGAATTGCAGTTAGGAAGGGCAGTGGCCAGGCGTGAATCAGGGCTGCCTGCTCCAGGTTTCATGCTCCTCATCACTCAATGCAGTCACCTCTTGCAGATCAGATGATGACATGGCCAGAGGGGGAGAAGAAGAGGGAATCACAGCCCCACAGACAGTGCGACCTGAAGGCCAGGGGCCTGGCAGTCCAGGAAAGGGCTGGTTCTCCCGGGACCTGCACCCTGGCCGGAGTCTGCCTCCTTGGACGCAGCTCTAACCGAGTGACCCCTTCTGACCCCGTAGGTGCCCTCTCCCTTCCTCAAGGCGTGGCCAGAGGCATCAGAAACTCCCTCAGTGCCCCTTTGCGAGTACTTCTCAAGGGAATGGTCCCTGCCCGAGGTCCGGGGGTAGTCTGAGGGGCCCCCAAGTGTGGAGGTGAGTAGAGCTCAGAGCCTTAGCACTGGCCAGCCTATGTAAGAGGGCCGGCCCTGGAGGTGAGGACAGCTCTCGGCAGCTGCCCCTCCATGTCCAGCACCCCTGGCTGTGTGCCTGAGACTCTAACCCTGGGCTGGAGCTTGGCTTCCAACCATCCCCACGAGGGCCTCCTCTCAGGGAAGGTCCACTCATCTCTCAAGTACCTTGGACCTTTGCTTAGGAGGTCTGGAGAGCCTGGAAAGACGTCCGGATTAAAAGGAATGAATTCTTTCAAAGATGGAGCAGCAAAAGCTAATGTGGGGGGTGGGAGGGGAGGAGAAAGATCTTGAACCGGCCCTGAGGTCCTGACCTGGCTTTTTCCGGATGGTCTCATCCTGGCACATGACTCACTTACCCTGGAAGGGCTGGACTGTTGGGAGGATCATGTCGAGGGAGGCTCGAAACTCTGGCTTGGCTCTGCCTTCCCACGTCCTCCCCTAGGGGAGCCGTGGCTGTGCTGCCTCCTGCCATTCTCTGCTGGCCAGGAGCATGAGGTCTGCTAGCCCGTCTTGAGTCTCCAGCACGGAGATCAATCCCTCCATCACGGGTGGTGGCTGGATCTGTCTTTTCACAAAGGCAGCTCAATTTCATGGAAGGCCACTGGCCTTGAGGTGGGGGGAATGGGTTTTGGTTTTCAATCTGCCTCAAACTAGTGATGCGGCCGTGGGCAAGTCACCGCCCCTGTCTGGGCCTCAGTGTCTCCATCCATTGAACAAGCGTGGGTCTTGCTGTGATTTTTTTTTTTTTTTGACGCCTTGCTCCTTTGTCCTGTGCCCTTTCCAGATCGAATGCTCCAGCATTTCTGACTACTCAGAGAAGATCATTAAGGCCAACCACTTGGACAACAGTAAGACATACCTCTGAGTATTTTCTCCTGGATGGAGGGGGTGGGAAGCTCACACTTTCTTGTTCAGATGGTATAGCCAAGGAGCGCAGAGCACTTGGACTTGGGGAGGTGGGGCACCAAGCTGAGGCCCCTGCCAGCAGGACTGTGGCCATGGGTGCTGATGTTCTCACCCTTGGCAGGCCAGCTAAGGGTCACAGCTGTCTCCTCTCAGCTTTTGGCAAGCCCTGCTCGTGGCTAAATCCCAGCTGTGGGCAACCTGTTGAGTTCTGCAGAATGGCCACATTCCTCCTCCTCCTTTTCTTCCTCTTCCCTCTCCACGAGCCCCAGCCCAATCTTTCCCTGCCACCTGCCCAAGGGCATCCTGATAGACCGCAGGATGCAATCCTCCGCTGCCCACAAGCCCTGTTACTGCTGGGCTTTTTTGGCAATGAGGCTGCTCTTGAGAGTGGGCCTTTCTTCAGCCGGAGTCTGATTATAGAGAGGAGTGTCCCTTCCCTTCCTCCCCACCCCCCACCTTTCCCATGGACTGTGACATTTCCCAGCCCCTCCTCTCTGGAGCCCATCTTGGAAACAGACCCGCAAGGGTATGTGATCAGGAGATGTCCTTGGAGCTTGCAACTGACAGCAGGATTTAGATGCAGTCCCCAGCCTTGCTGGGGTGAACGTCAGAAAGACAGGCAGGGCAGCAGCCCCCTGTAGGCATCCTGTCCTACTGCACCGGGGGCTGCAGTGAGGCCAGGAGAGGAATGGTAAACAGTAAGTTGCAATACAGAGAGTGAACTGGAGCCAGACAGGGCTAGCAGGAGCAGTGGGACAGAGGCCGCCTGCAGCAGAGGGCTGCAAAGGGTCAGCTCCAAGACAGAGCTCCCTGCAGAGTTCTGAAAGGTGGGAAGGCTGGAGCTGAGAGGGAAGGATGTCCCCTTGAGGGGTCTGGGGCAGGGGGAAAAGAGGCCAGGTTGGGAAGGAGTCTGGTTTCAGTGTCCCTCCGGAGGGCGGCTGGGCAGGGAGGTCTGGCAAGTGGGCTTTGTTGAATCCGAGGAACTGAGGAGTCAGCTCAGCCTCCCCTCTCTGTGTGTGCGACCCTCTGTTCTATGGATGCAGCCCTTGCTGTGCTCCCTGCTAACCTTCCAAAACTCCTCTGCCCTCCCAGAGGGTGCCCGCTGCCCTGCAGCCCCTCTGGGTCTGACCTGAGTCCCCACACCCAGGTGGTACCCGCCTGTACACACCACTACAAACCTGTGTCCATGTGGCTTCAGCCCTGCCACCTGTCCTGCCTGCCACTTGACCCACTTGCTGCAGACTCTTTGAAAGGGCAGGAGCATTATTGACTCAAAAAACTTCTCTGCAAGACACTATGAGCCAGGCTCTGGGGACAGAGCAGGGAACAAGACAGGTAAAGTCCCTGACCTCATAGAATTCACATTCCCTTTTCTGGGCAGGGTTACAGATAATAAACAAAGAAACAGACACTCAAAGAAAAATGCCAGGTGCTGAGAGGTGCTTTGTAGATCCCAAAGTCAGCTGACAGGATGGAGAGAGACCCCGTGGTCGCATTAGGATAGCTGCTCTCTGAGCAGGTCACAGTGAAGCTCAAATCTGAATGACAGGAAGGAGCCAGGCTGCCGAAGGTCAGGGGAAGAGAATCTCAGACAGAAGTTACAGCCAGTACAAAGTCCTCTGGGATGTATCGAGCTTGGCATGCCCCCGAAGCACAAAGGAGGCCATGCGGCCAGAGCGCGGAGAGCACGGGGATCAGAGAGGGAGGAAGGGACCAGATCACATAGGATTTGTAACCAGGAAAACAAGGTTAGATTTTATTCTCTGGGTGCTGCAGTCTTTTGGAAGATTTCAAGCAAGGGACATGGCTTCTCTGTGAAGGACGGGTTGTAATAGGTTCCAGGCAAGAACACATGAGCAACACACAGGAAGGAGCTATTGCGGAGCTCCCGTGAGAGGGGCTGCAGCGGGGACTGGGGCGGCAGTGGAGACAGAGAGAAGTGACCACTGTGGGATCCACTTGGGGATAGAGGCGTGAGGACCTGAGGATGGAGTGAGTGTGGGGATGAGAAAAAGGAGAGAAGCAAGGAATTTTTTTTTGACTTGGGCAACTGGGTGGGTGGTGATTGGCTGGAGGCGAAGTACTGATGGAGGTGGCAGGAGGAGGAGGAAATCAAGAGCTCTTTTTTGCACGTGTTAGGTTTGCGATGCCCATTGGGCATCCAGGTAGACGCGCTGAGTCAGACTTGGATATGCGAGTCTAGAATTTCAGGAAAAGCCAGGCCAGGAGACCCCCACTTGGGAGTCATCAACTTACAGGTGTTATTTAAAAGCCGCAGGATGGATGATGTCACTTAGGGGTGGTGTGTGGCTAGAGGAAATAAATGGGTCAAAGATAGCGCTCTAGGGCCCTGCACTGCAACATTTGGAGGTCAAGCAAGGGAGATGGGCAGCAAAAAGGCAGAGAAGATGCACTCAGTGAGGCTGAAGGGCATTCAGGGGAGAGGAGGACCACGAAGCCCGGGGAGGGGGCAATGCCCGACTGTAGGGAATGTGGAGGGATCACAGCAGGTAAGAACAGGGAAGGGACCACCATTGACTCTGGCCACATGAAGGTTACCAGTGCTCTTAACAAGCACAGGCTCAAATGAGAGAGAAATCCAGTTAGAGTAGGTTCAGGAGAGACTGAGGTGAGGACCAGAAACAGCTTTTCTTGTTGCAATGGGAATAGAAAAATGGACAGTAGCTTCAGAAGAAGGTGGTGTCAAGGGAAGAAGTCTTTTCTTTTTCTTATTTTAAGTAATAGGATATATGAAAATGTGTATGTGATTCACTGGTATAGTAGAGGGTCAGAGAAAAATTGCAGATGCAGGAGAAAGTAAATTCAGGAGCAAAGATCTTAAGAAGGTAGGATGTGTATGTGGTGGGGGGGCTCCAGAGCACAGGTGGGGGCGGCCTTTGCCTTGCCCAGGTGGAGGGGTGGTCCTTGCACTGCCCAGGTAGAGGACGGCCTTTTCCCTGCCCAGGTGGAGGGGTGGTCTTTGCCTTGCACAGGTGGAGGGGCAGCCTTTGCCCTGCCCAGGTGGAGGGGCGGCCTTTGCCCTGCCCAGGTGGAGGGGTGGCCTTTGCCCTGCCCAGGTGGAGGGGTGGTCTTTGCCTTGCACAGGTGGAGGGGAGGCCTTTGCCCTGCCCAGGTGGAGGGGTGGCCTTTGCCCTGCCCAGGTGGAGGGGTGGTCTTTGCCCTGCCCAGGTAGAGGGCGGCCTTTGCCCTGCCCAGGTGGAGGGGTGGTCTTTGCCCTGCCCAGGTAGAGGACGGCCTTTGCCCTGCCTAGGTGGAGGGGTGGTCTTTGCCTTGCACAGGTGGAGGGGCGGCCTTTGCCCTGCCCAGGTGGAGGGGTGGTCTTTGCCCTGCCCAGGTAGAGGGCGGCCTTTGCCCTGCCCAGGTGAAGGGGTGGTCTTTGCCCTACCCAGGTGGAGGGGCGGCCTTTGCCCTGCCCAGGTGGAGGGGTGGTCTTTGCCCTGCCCAGGTAGAGGGCGGCCTTTGCCGTGCCCAGGTGGAGGGGCAGCCTTTGCCTTGCAGAGAGGCAACCTATGCCTTGGGGTAGGGACAGTTCAGCAGTAGCCAGGTGGGGGAAAGTGGGGAGTGTGGGTCCTGATGGAGGTGCCAGTGGTGGGAAGCCCCTGTTTTGCTGCTTTCATTTGCTCAGTGAAGAATGAGACAGTTGCTGGCAGAGAAGGAATGTGAGGCCTGGAGTGCGAGGGAAGGAGAAAGGGCAGCAGACAGGCTGGTTGAGTGAGGATGGCTGCGACACGCCTAATGCCTGTAGATATGTGTGGCCATAGATGCGCAGTGTGTCCCATCCTTGCTGTTGTGTGATCTTTCCCTTACCACACTCAGGAGCTTGGGTGTCATTGGAGTGGAAGACCGCCTGCATCAGGCCTTTGCTGGGAGCACGTGGCAGGTGGGAGGGGGAGGGCAGGGTGCAGAAGTTGATGACAGTGATGGACTGTGGGATCTAAGCTGAGACATGAAGGAAGCCGGGAAGGGCGGTAGTGGTTGTAACAAAGGCTGGAGCAGTTGGGCGGGCAGCATCTGTAGAGGCCACGAGTGGAGCTGAGATCCTGAGGCCCAAGTAGGGGAATGCTGCTCGGCCCTTCTGACCTCTGACCTCTGGCTCGGTGTCCAGCCTCTCTCAGCTCCCCCAGCAGAGCCGGGTCTCTCCTGTGCCCTCCTCAGAGAAGTGCTTGACCCGGGCCCCCTATCTGCCTAAAGACAGAAAAAGAAAACTGGTTGATTCTTTCTCTGGGAGGGTAACACAGCCTGGCATCCTTCTACGTGGCCCGTGAAATAGGGCAAATGGTTTTCCCATTAGCAGATGTGGAAATTGAGGCTAGGAGAGGCGGATGACTGAGCCTGGGCTCTCGTCCCTGTGCCCTTTCCTAAGGTGTATTTGTGTGGATGCAGAAGTGCCAGGAGTGAGGCTGACCCTGAAAGCCTGTGGGAAGGGAGAATGTGTGCAGGCACAGCAGGATCAGATGTCCTCTCAGTGGTCCTGAGTCTCATCCCTGAGCCCTGAGAGGCTTCCAAACAATACCTAGACGATTCCTTTGCCTCTGCGCAGGTTTCACCTGCACCATCATTCCTGACCTCTGACCTAGCCCCTGACTCTTCCTCTCCCTCTCAGTGCCAGCCCACCCCCAGTAAGTGTCTGGGGCTCTAGAAACACAGCTTCCCTGGTCTCCCTCCTCCTCAGGCTTGCAGGGGCTACTCATAGCAGAGTATGGGGTGGGCTGGCAGGGGAGGTGGCTAACTCCAGCTGCGGCATGCCTGACCTGTTTGCCAGGAAAGGAACAGCACAGGCCCCTCATCATCCTGCTCTGCCTCACGCCTTAGGGCTCTCCCTTTCCTTCCCTTCCTTCTCCTCCCCTTCTCCTCCTCTCTCTCTTCTTTATTTTAACCTGTGAAATACTAGATGTACAGAAAAGGCGCACATACAGCTGAG